AAAAGAAAAAAGTAGTGGCCTTATGAGCCAGCCATCACAAAAGAGTTCAAACCCCAATCCTCTATCCACCAACTGATGCTCCAATATCACCAGGCTAATTTTTGTGGTCTACTTCAGTCCCCTTTTATATATATATATCTGTGTGTGTGTGTGTGTGTGTCTGTGCAAGTTCATAGCTAGAGCATTTTAGTAAAAATTTTCAGAGTTCAAAATTTTATTCTAACTTGTATCATGTTAAGACAGAACCTCGCAGAAAAGAATTAGAAAACAAATAAATGAATCTTGGTATTTTATAGCTCAAATTAGAACACAAAGTAGGACTTGCAACCAATTGGAACATCAGCATTTATGTAGGGTTCTACCATGAACCACGACCAATGAAAAAGAAGGTACCTTCGAAGCATCATTCTGTGACAGTAAGCAAATCAGCGTTTGGATCACATTCAAAACCAACTTCTCGCCATTTTCAGCATTCAGATTTCCATTCAACAAAGATAGGACATGCAAAAAACATTCACCTTCACGGAACAAATCTTGATAATACTGGCAACAGAAGACAGCAAAATGACAAAGTCAAATTGCAAGGACTTATCCCACTATTGTTGTGTCTATGAAAATAAAATTTCAAAATGTAATACCACACGATCTGTTAATAGCAACTCTCTCATCCCAACCAGCAACTCAATAGACAAATCTGCAAAATTCTTAACACGTTCTTTCAAATGCGTAAATGTTTCCAAGTACTTAGAGCATAGAAATACTTTCGCTTTCTGCACCTCCTCAGAAAATGGAACTATCTGTGAAAAGAAATAGAAAACTTAAACCATCTAAGAAGTTGATGTGCATCAATTTTCACAGTCCTGGATCAATTCAAAACATAATATCAAACATAGGAATAGTGTACCTTCATAAGGTCGAGAACATAATTGAGGATAAGATTTCTTAGATCTTCTTCCCAGAACAATTCAAACATACAACTGATACACATAGAATTGCTCAAAATGGAAAGTTTTGTGTCATCTGACACTGAAAAGTATCCTGCAAATAGTTCCAAGAATGTTCTCATGCATTTTGCCCAACCAGTCCTCTCAGGTGAACCAGACAGTTCATGGCTTTGACAGGATGCCTCACCACTAGAAGTGGATTCCATAGAAGAACATATAGTGACAGGCCTTTTAGACTCCTCGACCTGAATACAGGCAACTTTGAGAATCCGAGGAATTGCAGAAAGTGTCTTAAATGAAGAAATTGTTTTCTCAGCTGAAATCTGCAACACACGAGTCAGGCTCTTCGCTAAAATAATGGCGAGCTCAGGATTACAGGCAGATTGTTCAAGAGCATCCAGCAAAACTGTACATTCAGGCTGCGAGAGGATAACCATCAGATAAGGGCCAACAGGAAGAATGTGGAGCAAATTAAGAGCCAAACTCAGAACATACATGCTTCAATAAATTATCAACTAAATTAAAATTCTTCATAATGAAAAGATGAAGAGTGTTTCCGCTTGCCGACTTAAGGGATGTGGACATCAAAACTTAAAAAGGCGAGACCATAATAAACAGCATAATTCAGGCACTCATGCAATTCAGTGTATTCAATATCTGGTAACCAGTTAATGTAGATGATTACCACCTATATATACTTCCTCAGTTCCTCCATTCTATGAAGGAGTCAACAATCCCAATTTTAGTCAGTCAAGTATTCTCAGTAGCCCAAAACCAACATATGATTCACTTGATCACCTACTATGCCAACGTATTATTTAATGAATTTATAATTTATGCGACATTTTGCCCCATAACTTTATATACCTAACACAACTTACCCAAGCTACATTGGGTTAGGTAAGAGACACGTAACCCCATAAATATCCATTCAGAATTGTTTAGCACAAACAATTATTTGTAAAAATATACAACAAAATGTTAAATAGAAAAAAATTGCCATTTTAATCTTAAACTAGTGGTATAGACACTCTATTAGGAGTTACAAAAGAAAAATATAATGACTATTCTTAATTTTTATTATGCCACTGCAAACACCTTATATGCATCCGGAGAATAAAAAAATTGCTGCCCTGCTGGAAATTACGGTGCAAAACAATCAATATTTCATTGCAAAACAAGCATTAACGGATACTCTACCAAAAACATGAAAAATATATTCAGTGCTTTGGAACAGAATCAGAAATAAAGGTAAAAAAACATTTGATGAAAGTGGGAAACTAGGCAAGCTGCATTATTCTCTTATGAAATTGTATTTCATCAAGAAACACGAATAAAACCAAGGACAAATAAGTGCATCCTGTACTATACTGATACTTATTCATAACCAATAAGCAAGACAGTCCGCCAGGAAATAGGCCAGCTGCATGTACGCGTTGAATAAGAAAGACAGCAACAGAGAAGAATAGCGTCGAAACAAGAAATATCAGACAGACAGGAAGAAAGAACCAACCAGGTTATGGATACTTCCACTTAAAGTAGCTGCAAACTCCAGGAATGAGATTATTTCAACTTGTAGAATCTCAACTTGATTAGAGTTAGGTTGATCCACAACAGAACCTGAAGTAGATCCTTCTTCATCCACTAAAGGAACCTCACACCAACTAATATTCTGTCTAGAAAACTCTGTAGGAGCTGGGCCAAAGTAGAAAAAATTCTCAGAGAAGATGAAATCCCACACACCTTCAGCACGGAAGACATCAACTAACGACGGTGATGAAAGAAGAACCTTTTTAAACGCGAAAAGAACATAATGTTGCATCGTGCAAGCAAAGATCCTATAAAAGAAGCACAAAATAGTACACGACTCAAATTTTGAAATGGAAACACAAAAAATAAAAGAAAGCTAAGAACTATAACTCACACAACCACAACATAAAGCATTTATGTACTTGAGGAAAAGGAAAGAGAAATAGTAGATTGAACCACCTTAAGTGGTTAGGAATTTCCCCTTGATCCGAACATGCCTTAATGCATGGAAAAACCGTTAGAAGCACCCTCGTGAACCACTTTACAGAAAGTTCGGCATACACCGCTGACATCATTATGGTACTTCCACTGACAGTTGGTTGAACACGGTAGAATGTGTTTTCTTTTCCTTCAAGAAGGAAAAAACAAAGAGCTCCACTCAACCTAGCAACATAATCTTTCCAATTCTTTACATAATATGGATCGGATGAAAATGGAGGGAACAGCTCCCCTTCACAAATATCTGAAGCATTAGTTTTTCTTTCCTCAAATTCATCCAGATACTTCTTCCAAGAGGAGTCCTTGCCCCGTTTGTACTCTTGAATCATAAATGCAACCGAACAGAAACTATTTGCAAACTTTTGTATCCTTCCATTCTCACAAAGAAATTGCAAATTATTCAGATTTCCGTAACTACATACCAGTTAAAGAAAATCAGTATTGTTAGCCATTTTATCATGCATAGCTAGTGAATGTTTGTTCACTTTGTCCCCCCTTCCATAAGCTCTTGCAATCAGTGTTATCAAATGGAGGCCATGGCGTGGCAAATTTCGCCAAACCGCCATGCTAGACTTGTGAAGGATGGCGGTTATGGCGACACCATAGGCCGCCACAGCGGACGCTATGGTGGGATTTTGGCCTGCCGCCATTTACTTCCATCCACCATTAATAACTCTGCTTGCAATATATAATTATCATCTGGTAAAATTTCATTACAAGGCTTTGGTTTTAGGTCGTGGACAGGCAACAGAGTATTATATAGTGGTACAATGTTAGTACTTTCCTTGATTATTCCAGAGTAGTTATGATTAACTTCAACAACCATAGGCTGATACGACCCCTAAAATGCAGGATTTGGGAGAAGTTCTCTAATGCAGTAGAAAAGTGACTTCCAAGTGCTTGAAAAGATCAGTAGACAAGAGTAAAACTTTGGTTAAAGTATCATGCAAAATTAATGTTGCCAATTAATGAAAACAATGAATTAGCAGCATTTGCTCCCACAAGACTTATCTTGAAATCCCGTAGACTTTTAGATAAGTAGGTGCAACAGTTAAAACAATGTTTCAAGGATACATAGCTTCCCTGAGGCTCTCCAATGAGAGAACATGGAGATTAAAAATACCCTCCAAAGGATTTTGGCTCCTGCAGGAAGAAAAGCCAAAATTTGAAGTTATTAGGAAAAAAAGAATAACAGGAACAAAATATATAATTGCACTAATTCAGGTCCATATCATATAAACCAAGGCAAATTCAAATCTCAAAATAAATATGCATCACAGAAAATATACAAATTAAAATGCGATTCTACTTGCTTGTTTTGTACAAATATATCATGTTGTCTAAAGCCAAAGGGGGTGTTAACTATGAACCCTTCTCATCTTCCAACCAAATATCAATTCTATCAACTTCTAATAGAAGCCTCATGTCATATACTGAATTTAAGATGTCAACACATGCCAACTGATGGATTTTCATGACAATTAATTTCATCCAGGTCATGCACAATCTTGCTCGATGAGGCTGGACGTCAGAAAAGAAAAAAAGAAATTGAATGCTCGGGTTGCTAGCTCTCAAGTTTCATTTATCGTTATCGACTCAGTAACTCAGTGTTACTGGTTGAGATTATGAAAACAGTGGTTTCATGATCGAACTAATCATAGTAGCTTAAAGAACAAGGAACAAAATGAAACTTTTATCAGCCAACCAAGGGAAACCAATAAAAGATCCAGAATTAACCTCACCATACTATGTTCAACCTGCAAAAAGTAAGATATGCTCTTAGGCATACTTCTGCAAGTCCAAAGAGGTTACCTTATTTCATCACTTGATGAAGAACTTGAAATCAATCTATCAACTGAGGGAACTCCCAGTCCATCTAACAGAACTTCCAAGCCTCCAATACTTCGGAAATGATTTTGACCACGTTGATTACCAGACAAAGCTGATCGAAGAGCTCTGAGAGTCAAATGCTGAAGCAACATGTCTGCCCACTGTTCTTTCATAATCAATCTCCTGATCAGACGCAATATCTCTGAAACAAAATTAATATCATGATGAGTTTTCATTCAATATTACATGAAACACAAAACTTGATGCTGGTTTTTGGACCACTTTTTACATGGTCTTTTGGATGTACAACTCCATTTCCAACATGAACTGCGTGTTGCATATTGTAGATTGGTCATTTCCAGAAAGCCTATTCGAAATATGTGAAATTGTTAATTTATTAGAGAATCCCATTTTGTAGAAGTTTATCGGTTCAAATGGATTTCTGCACAAAGTGCTTACAAACATGCACTAAGTGAGCACATACACTGTAGATAGCCAACCACTACACAAAACCTTATTCAAGAACAATGTTTGCAAACCTGAGAAAGGAAGTTCCTTTTCACAAAAAAATCAAAACTAAAAAAAATAAAATAAAAATGAAAAACAATACCACAGAAGTAACAGGCATACAATGCCGAAACAAGAAATCTCCATTTTCACATATTTGTCCACTGCTATTTACTTACAGTGTGTACAAATACATTTCTACTGATGATGATGCAAGTTCATATAAAGAAGTAACATTACTGCAGAGGAATTGCAGCAGGTTGTGGACAGTGAAATATACACGTCTTAAGCGTGGAACTGTGGGGATGGGGGATGGGGAAGAATCTAAAACAGACACCCATTTTCACATTTTACATTAAAGAACAGAAAACCTGATAGCCAACAGGATGGGAAAAATTACAAACATTTGAAATATAACTATATATTATAATTCAAGACTCTAACTATGACATGCAGGCTTGCAGCCATACACTAGTGAACTGACTTGTATTCCAGCCAGATTATTCAACCCAACACATTTGAATTAATAGATTATGGAGAAGTCTTTCTACAAGAAAGGGACTCTGCTCCCGCTGACGAGTATTAACCCTCAATCAGTGTAGAAAAACTCGCTAGGTGGTACATTTCCACCTAGTGTCTAGCTGGTGCCTATTATTTCTAATGTTCATTTATTTTTGTTACTTTTTTACTAAACAATGGCAGCCTAACCTTACTAGGCCGAGTGAACTATTGTTTGACAATTTTCCATTACTCGGGGCTGGAGCCACCTAGCGCCTAGGAGCCGCCTAGACAAAGTTTAACACCACTGCCCTCCATAGCATGGTGCAGATTCCTTGCAACGTTATTACATGCATGGGTTTGAGTATTCTTGTGTAATAACACTCTTGCATATAAATGATGACTGTGCGACCCAACTATACAGTGTACAACATATTTTAGCTACATTTATGGTTCTCCATCAAAAAGTTGACTTCACAGGCTACACCAAGTAAATTTACTGTAAATTTATGCCCTTATCCAACGTTCTTTTGTTCTCCATCATATTCCTATATGAACAAGATGCAAGAATCTTGCACGTAGTTATACATCATAAGATCCCCACAAATCAAGGAAGAGCATACACACATGAATGAGTGAGGATATACGGACAAGTTACAGTAAAGAGTCAAAGCTGAAGCTGCATACCTTACCTAATAACCAATTAAGTCCACCAGCTTCCATAAGTGATACAACAGTTGTTTGATGCCACGACAAGGTTGCTTCAGAAACAGCAGGTTTTAAAGCACGAGAAAGGCTAACATTTACACCACTTCTAGCTGCAGACGGTTCCATGTCGATACTTTTCAACAGCACATTTTCCTCTATGCTTGAAGGAAAATCAATGAAATGGCAAATGATGGACACCACATGAACCAATAGCTGCTGCAAAACTCCAGTGTTTTGTACCATATTATTTAACAAACTTTGATCTGCTTGAAGTGCACTAGTAATGGTCTTAAGTTGGACAACAGCAGCTGCAAAAAAAGAAAATAGGAGTAAGCATTAAGCATGTAGTAAGTGACAGACAGATTTCTCAGTAAAACGGCAACAAAGCACACGGAAAATAAGAGCATGGTTGTTTATGAAAAATTTCAAAAAATTTCAACATTTTAACTCAACCACTTTTTTTTTAACTCAACTTTAACTCAACCTCACAATCATCAATATTATCAATATACTTAAATAATATCAATGAATCAATCATACACACCACATCAACCTTAATCTACTATTCATCCACTCACATTATTTTAACTAACCATCACATCAAATCATCTTTCTCCTACTTTTACATCTAATTAATTTTAATTATTTTAGTTTAAATATTATTTTAATATACCCACTAACCACTAACCATACCACCTTTTTCAAAATTAACCAAACCAAACCCAAAAATCTAAACAAACCCAAAAATTTTATAAACAAACATGCTCTAAGTTTTTAGATAAAATCATTTAACAGCATAAAATGGTATGTCACGCAATTCAAGCGTACTATCAGTATTATAATTCCCAGCAAATTCATTTGCATCGATCAACTTGTAGATAAGGATTTCATAAACATTGTCGAAGTCCACATTAGCTGATTGGATGTAATGTCCACAACTAATTGTTATTTTTCACAACTATATATTTCTCCATCTTCAGATTAAGATACAAAAAAAAAAAAATAATAATAAAAAAAAATACAAGACTTAAACTAAGTCAAAATACTGCTCTGAATTCATTCAAACAGGCCAAGAACTTCCAATTTTAGAGTCCTTTGAATCCCTAACCCTAACCCTCGACTGATTGATTTTATTAACATATGATACGAAATATGTCCTTGAAAATGTATACCTTCAGGATACAAAATCTGAACCAACAAAATGGAAATGAATGCCAGACACTGAGACTGACACTCAGGAAATGAGTTGAAATATAAGAGCACAATCATCTATGATTGGCCAAAACCAAAATTATCAGCTTTGAGTTTGACATACGAACTATTAATACCAATCAATGATATCAACAGTAACAGTAGAAAAGGTAGGATGCTGCAGCACATCTGTCAATGTGTTGATCATACCTTTCATCAATGCCGTAAGCTTCTGAATCCCAGAATAGTAACCAAAGACTTTGCAGTTATGAACGGACAAAGTCACAACAGTCAGAGCTTCTAAGGTCATCCATGATTCACTTGTGATGTTGATGCACGTTGTAATACCCACTTGATCTGCAAACAATGCCACTGCAGTTTGAAAAACTAAAAACTAACTGGAAAGAGATCAAGATGAAAGCTAGCATACGAGGAAACACCATGATCATATTATAATACGATACATGGAAATCACGCCAATCATGAGTAGAAGAGGAACAGTATAAAAATAGCTAACATCTCACTGACATCAACTAAATTTTAATCAGCTCATTATGGATGTAGCCAACTTACTGTCAGCAAGTAGTCTGGTTATCTGTGAGACTTCTTCAATCAAGATCTGTATTACTTCAGCAGGGTGGCCAAAGTTGCAGCCAACCACCACATCAGCAAAATTATGTTCATATTTTACAGGTGAAATAGCAAGCACTTCTTCGGGAGACTGACCCAGATTAGATGGTTTCCAATTCCGGTATATAGTCAAGAATTGCTTAATAAAGATTTGGAACAACTTTCTCTTCTCCACCTGAATGTGAGAAAATATAAGCACATATACTTCTTCTCATAAGAACATAAGAAAGAAAGTGTAAAAGCAAAACATTTGGAGGTTGTAATCAAGCTGTTTCTATAGAATCGCCAATTACTTCTAATATTTGCATATTATATCATCCTTTTGAGTGAATTGAATGGAGATTAAAATGAATAGGTCTTCAAAAGGATTGGATGACGGCTACGGCACACCTAATTTCAGAAAATAACATCCTGAACCTTTATTTTCCCCAAGAATGGTACTTATATGTGATATCCAAAAATTTCAAAGGAAACGTGATGTGATACAGAAAATCATCTATGCTGCATTACAAGTTTTCAATCAATACTGATGTAGTAATATAGTTTAAGTTTTGTTGTTTTATACGGTCCAACTACTTACCATTGTTTGAAAAACACAACATGACCAAGATAACTGCACAGACATACCTCTTCATCAGTATTTATGTATCTTTCCAAGAGAGTCTTCAAGATCCCTTCATCGCCTACCTCACTACAGAATATGCAAATAAATATTTTAGCCAAAGCGACATACAAACAATGTGGATTATAACAATTTACTAAAAAGAAAAAATTCCCCAATTCAAAGTAAATAAAAAACATATACTACTTCTCTAAACGGAAAACAAACACGCATAGCCAAATTCTAAAACCAGCACTCATATGAGAAGCAAAGAAGTTGCCACTAAGAACAAGTAGACAAGCTAGCTCAACATCAACAGAATTGCTGCTGAAGCTGACCAATCAAGGACAAATTTTATTTAGCAGATACAAACTATTTACTTGATAAATTCACCAAATTAGGATGATAATTCCAGGTATTGTAAGTAGTGGCTCCAATATCCTAGACTGTGTGCCCAATCATAATCCATACAGACAAAATCAATTGGGAGCCAAGAAAAAACATCTACCTGAAGCTGATCGACGGAGTTGGTGGTGTAAACCTCCCAGATTGTACGGCTGCACTGTATTCTCCACTTTGGCCACTCGAAGTCCTCCAAATGAGGTCCGCCACACCTTTAACTATGTTCATGCCTCCTTGCCACGCCAATTACAGGCCCGGATAAGGACTATGCAACTGATCATGAACAGTCAAGAAAATGCGGCAAATACACATTGCTTCTTTACACCTTCTTCTCCACACAACTAACCACTGAAAAAATGAAAAAAGGACATATTAGAACAGAGAAAACTGGCATTAAATAGGGGCGCCATGATCAGCGCAGAATATGCCTCTGAAATGGAAGGAGCAGAACTTTAATAAATCAACATCTACAAATGTCAATCACGACACCAGAGTGAATTAACAAGAGAGGATAGGAAAAAAAATTAATGGAAAAGCAAGAAAGACCTGATCGGATCAAAGGGACTATGAGAGATTGAGAGTTGAACCCTAATTCTATTTTGTTTTCAGAGTTTGGATTAAGATCTGACAGTCGAAAGATTCTCTTCGAAGCTCCGGCAGCATAAAGCCCGACGAATTGGCAGAAGCATGAATGGATGGATTCTATTATTATTGTAAATTAAATATATAAATAATAATGTTGAGCACGATTTTATTTTATTCATTGTTTTCAAAATTTGGTCGGACCAAACAGTCCTACCGGATAGATCGGAAACCGGTTTATTGACCAATTCGGTTTGTTTGAAAAAAATATTTGCTAGATAACCGGTCAACACAAGTCGGTCCGACGACCGATTGGTAATATCGATACGATTTTTTAAATAAAGTTTGTTACAATTAAATTTACTTTCACTATAAACTGAAATTACATATTTAAATAAAAAGGAAATTTACAAATTATTTAGCATTTAGTTTTTAACCATTGAAAAATTTTAAATTGTTCGGATATTTAATTAATTTTTTTTAATAAAATTATCATAAAAGGTACACTATATATATATAGAGAGAGAGAGAGAGATTGGATGCAATGAGTACACTTATTAAAAGTGTGCATGTGAGACTCATTACTAGCCACTAGATTGGTACATGATGTGTGGTCAAGATTTAACTCTTCATTTAAATAATAATTCTTTACTAGTATGAATCACGTGCGATGCACGGGTAAGAAATATTCATTAATATTTATAAATTAAAAATACTCATTAAATAATATTTATAAATTAAAAATATGAAATCAATAATATATATGTAATACAATCGACCTATATTAAATTGTTGAAAATATTATATGAAATTTAAATTGTGCAAAATTATATAAACGTATCTATTTAAATTCGTACACGACTCGTACGGTGCAAGTAAACTAATAATAAATTACATTATACTCATTTCAAAATAGCCGTCATTTTAAAATTTCTATTCAGAAACTCGATTTGACTACAATGCGATTCAAGTAAATACAAACCTTTACACACACACACACACATATATATATATATATATATAATTTGATATGTTCCAAGAACATTTACAAAGAAGTATCAACCATAGTATTCTCTAGATTTTTCTAAAAGTGAATTATGTTAATCCTTATTATATATTAATAGATTTTTATTATTTTAATTATTTAAATATTATTTTGATAATTGACCATTGACTCCCGCGTTGACCGTTGACTCCGGCGTTTACTTCCGACAATGATCGTTGACTCTCGATGTTGACCGTTGACTTTCATCGTTGACCGTTGATTCCGACGTTGACACGTTGACCCGTAGTATGCATTATATTTGAAGTAAATATGATAAAGTACTATGCACTTAATATGAACTAAATATGCATAAGATATGAATTATACATGTCATCCTTATGAACTAAATAAGCACCAATAATATCAACTATGTATGCACTGTTTATGTACTAAATATGCGCATTTTACTAACGAAATATGCATCATGAATGAACTAAATATGCACATTTTACTAACGAAATATGCATCATTAATGAACTAAATATGCAACAGAAATATGCAATTAAATATAATAATTAATTATTTTTATTATATAATTAATTTTAATTTTAAATTGATTAATATAAGTTATTGATCTACACAAATAAATTGTTATGATTGGACCTCAAATAAACTAGGTATGCACTAAACTAAATATGCATTTCGTAAGAACTAAATATGTATCATGAATTAACTAAATATGCATCATAAATTAACTATATACGCATCATTATATATTTAATTTAAATATAACAAGTATGAATTTCATATTAACTAAATATGCTTCATAAATTACCTAAATATGCATCCATCATAAATTACCTATATAAAATATACATTTTTATTGCATATTTTTGCTGCATATTTAGTTCATTCATGATGCATATTAAGTTCATAACCGATGCATATTAGTTAATAACAGGTGCATAGTTGATATTATTAGTGTTTATTGTTGATAAACGGATTTGATCAACTAAAATATACACCCCTATTTTGTGAATAATCGGTGTTGGATTAATAATCATTTATGGAAGATGAAGTTGTAATCTTTTTCTCTTGAATTTTTGTTTGGAAGATGATGAATAGTCCCCCCCTCTCTCTTTCCTCTCTCCATTATCTATACATGGCCCTTTACAAGTGGCTCATTAAAAAAATAGATAAAAGGGGGTCATTAGTAATTAATGTGAGATGACATCGTGGGGCCCGATCGTGACACTTGACGGCTTCGAATGACGTCTACTTTATCGGCAATCATGGCGTCTACCGGAAATGGATCTTCTCGGTATCCGGGTCGGGCTGGCGAAATTTAATTCTGCTCGACTTGAACGTGGGCCATCTTGACACTTGGGGAACTCGGTTAAATAATCAGCTCAGATAACCTGCTATATTGATATTTATCTAATACATATCCACGTGTCGTCTTTTGATTAATCGAGACTAAATTTGGTATCAACATATATTTAATTCATAAAAACTACATGTGTAATTCATACCTCATGCATATTTAGTTCATATTAAATGCATGATACAGGATTCGTAAGAACTAAATATGTATCATGATTTTAACTAAATATGCATCACAAATTAACTATATACGCATCATTATATATTTAATTTAAATATATAAAAAGTATGCATTTCATATTAACTAAATATGTTTCATAAATTACCTAAACATACATTATAAATTAACTAAATATGCATAATAAAATATCTATATAAAATATACACTTTATTGTATATTTTCGTTAAGTTCATTCATGGTGCATATTAAGTTCATTCATGGTGCATATTTTCGTTAAGTTCATTCATGGTGCATATTAATATCTATATAAAATATACACTTTACATATTTAGTTCATTCATGGTGCATATTAAGTTCATAACAGATGCATATTTAGTTAATAACATGTGCATACTTAGTTGATATTATTGGTGCATATCTATATATATATAAACAGATTTACCAATTTTTAAGAATAGTAAGTCAATTTCTGGTCAACACTCTTTCTGCATTTATTGCTTTCTTTTAATAGAAACTTTTATTTTGGAAAAATTTCAAAAATGTGATAAGATTTTTTTTTGGAAAAAATTCAAATATGTGATAAGATATTTTTTTTTAAATAGGATACATCAACAAAATCTCCTATTTCGATGGAATATATGTTTACTAATCAAACAATTTTAATTAAGAGATTGGGATCAACAAAATCTCCTAATGAATGTTTATTGGCACGTGATTTAGTATAACTATTTTTGTGGAACAAATTAACCAAAAGATACATTTTTTTATTTTTTTAAAGAATCTTATCTTTTTTTTTTCATATTTCTCCTTAAGATCGGTTTCACGTTATTAGCTCCCATCATAAATTTGAATATACACCCTATAAATATTCAACATGCTAAACCCATATTTAACATTTTACACGCATCTTTAAAAGCACAGTTCCAAAAAACAAAAACACCACCAATTGACATGGAAAAATCCTTCGGTATTATTAATGATGTTGAAAGAAACAAAAAATGCCCGTTAAAATTTCGTGTGGTTCGTATGTTTGAGCGCGAGTCTCCAAATCTTCAACACAACATATTGAAGATCCTCTTCAAGATAGGGAAGTATTTTTTTTCTATTTAATTTTTTTATTACGAATTCAACTACATACAAAAACATTTTGTTTAATCGTTGTTTGTTTGTATTTGCAGGGCGCACACATCGTATGTTTGATACGCAATGTTCATATTCAAAAGATGAGGGAAGAACTGGAGAAAGGCCGTATTTATTTTATTCGTAATTATGAATTGGATAGTAATTGATATGTCTGATATTGTTTTTAGGATAGTTTATAGAAACAAATCATCCCTTAATTGAAGGGATTTAGCATTCAAAATACACATTATCCAAAATAATTTGAACGATTCTGTTGAGAGATTCTACATAATTCAAATAATAAAAAAGCATGATGTGTTTAACGAATTTTTTATTTGTACTAATCTATATATATATATATATATATATATATATATCTATATATATAAAGAGGGAGTTGATGGAATTGATGTTACTAATGATAGCAGTAAATGCTTCTTTTGGAAATGGTATCAACAATATTTTTGGAAATAAATATATAATTAGTATGTTTGCCTTTTAGATTTAATAAATCATTCATGATAATTAGTTAACAATTTAATATGTAATAAGTATTTTCTATGACTTGATTTTTAGAAATAAATTTATAATTAGTATGTTTGCCCTTTTGATTTACTAAATTATTCATGATAATTAGTTCTCAATTTAATATATAATAAGTATTTTCTGACTTAAAAGACGATATTAATTAATTACTGACATATTTAGTGATTGAATTAAATGATATAATACATATTAGTGCCTATGCATAGTATAAATATCATGAAAATTTGTGCCTACGCATAAAATAATTATTATGAGGCTTATGATTCAACCTGATTCAAATTTCAAGAAGTGCCTATGCATAATATAATTATTACGCCGTGCACTATTATTCAGCCTGATTCAATTTTCAATTAGTGTCGCCTATGCGTAATATAATTATTATATTTGAAGTTTTTAAAATCTATTAAATTGAGAATTTCAAGTAAACAT